TACTCGCTTGGCATATTCTGTGTCAATTTTTTTAGCAACGAATAGTGGGATTTTCTGTCACTTTATACCGCGCCTGCGGCGGAAAGGGCGAGCATGTTTGGTGGGACGGGGATTCCAACCCACGACCCGCCAGGCTCCAAAATCTAACAAAACAAATAGTTTAGTTTCTTTACTAACCTTTTCTCTTCCCACCAATAAGTAGGACAGTTTCTTTACTAACCTTTTCTCTGCCCACTAATAAGTAGGACAGTTTCTTTACCAACCTTTTCTCTTCCCACCAAGAAATAGGACAGTTTCTTTACTAACCTTTTCTCTGCCCGCTAATAAGTAGGACAGTTTCTTTACTAACCTTTTCTCTCCCACTAATAAGTAGGAGAGTTTCTTTACTAACCTTTTCTCTGTCCACTAATAAGTAGAACAGTTTCTTTACTAGTTTTTTCTGCCCACTAATAAAAAGGATAGTTTCTTTTATAATCTTTTTTCTGACTACTAATAAAAAGGACAGATAATTTACTAACCTTTTCTCTATACTGGCGCCGAGATGAATCTAGTGACTGGATGAGGTTAGTTGTGTGTCCCAAGAATAGGGCGTAACAGATGGCGCCGCTGATCATACTCAGTAGAGTTAACCACATATCTGTTAAACTCTGTGGAGGAAATCGGCCATAGCCAATACACAGCATATGGGACATAGCCTTGAATAATGCCCAGGAGTATTGCTCGAACCAGAAAACGTCCTGAAAAGTAAGTCTATGTTACATGAATATTACATTGCTACTAAAATAATTCGTGTTCCAGTAATCCCAATATACACGGAGCATTACACTAACCACAAAAAACAGAGATTTGTGCCAGAACCATAAAAATGGTTAATGGTAAAGTAATATCAAAGTATACGGAGTGTTACAGTTAACCCAGTATGTTTATTAACCACAATGTAAACTAAATGTTATAGGAAACACAAAACAAAATGTGTTGCATTAACCACAGTATACACTACAACTTACAGTAGCCACAAAATAGCAAGCGTTTCAAAAACCACAATGTACAATAAATGTTATATTAATCACAGAACAGTGCATAATTCAATAGTTACAAAAATAATGTGCATAGAGAAGAGTAAAAAATGATGAATATTATATCTATCCGAAACGATTACGTGTTGTAAGAAGTATAAAAATACGACACTAACGCTTATGTTTCTTAAAGTGAAAATAAAGCTCAATATATGTTACAGTAAACACAAAACATCCGAGTATTGTTTACTCTGAAAATATTTATATTCTTACAATATCTCGATAATATAGGTTGTCCAGCAATCGCGAAAGACAGAAGTGTTTAAATATTCTTAGACATTTTGTGTTTGTAAATAGCACAAAAAAGTGAAGCCATTGAGAGCTTAATCCATAAAATAATAATGAAACATGATTATAGAAGTATCACAAATAGTCATCAGAAATCAATCTTGGTAGGCTGTGTGTAGTGTAAGTATTAACAGAAATGTATGTAATTAATTGTGAATCATTTCTCACAGTACTTTACAATTAGTCATTGATGGTCATCGAAACATACGAGAAACATGTATGAAAGTTGTAGACCAGATCTATCAACACTGTATTCACTTATGATGGTCGTTGGAGCATATCATATTTAGATGTATAACAGTGTCAGATTAGGTCTAAAAATACTGATGACACTCGGAACATATGATAGACGTGTTATATGAAATCTAACAATATTGCACGAGCTAACACACCGTAGGTGAAAGTTCTAACTTCACAACGTCATTGACAATACGTGTGTTCTAACATACTACTATCCGTCATTGAAACATAAAATCCCTGTTTCATCATCCTTAATTATCTTCATACTTGCTCTTCCTTTCAAGAATAGTCATACATATTCATACATGTGTGATAAAGTATCGGCAAAAACAAATAATTCTCTTTGAACAAAATATTTGTATAAAACTAGGAAACTAGATTTGACACATTAGTGTGTCTTATTTAGTCCCACACAGTATTCTGAGAACAAATTTACCTACCCATGAAAGCGTTAAAACCAATCTCCTAGTATTTATAATAACATTTTATTCCAAAAGTAAAGTTTATGCTTTCGTTAATTTAGCTAGCATACGCAGTATTGTGTGTTTTACAATACTATATATGTTTGTATGTATGCTGTTTTTGTTCGGGTTATACTTTTATACACAAAAGTGACCTGTTAGAGTTAGTATTACAAATATCAACTTTAGGAGAAGGAAGAATGAAATTGAACTTGTAACCCGGATAGTTTGGGCAACTTATTCTTTTTAAAGACCTTGTAAAACCAAAACCTTGTTTCGCGTCTAGTTTGTAATTTGTGTATATTTTATAATATTATCTCTACATAGGGTTGTGAATGTGAGAAAATGATAACAGAACTGCAAAGATTGTTAGCTTTTGTAACAAATATTACTGGATTGAGGTGATTGGTTGTTTCGGAGACTACTCGCACAAAGCTACTCAACTTTGAACTGATACGCTACTCCAATTGAATAGTGGAAATATATCGTCACTCGTATAACAGCCACGGCCCAAAAGTGCGGAGTGCAATTCTGTGTTAACGGGACGCGAACCACGAGCTCCTTGATTCACAGTCCTGCACGCTAATCACTAGGTCACACGTGGCCCTTATATATATATATAAAGTTCTGAATAAACTAAGATTTTAATCGAATTAGCTTCAATAAAATCAAGGATAACCTGGTCTGCCTACCTGAAGTTCATTGATAGCAACCCAAGAATTGGATGGAAATCCCTGTAACATGGGTACAAGGAATTGAAGACAACCACTCCAATGTCCAATCAGTAACATCATACATATAAGGTTGAAAATCTTCATAAAGACACTTGCCATGTTGAGGAACTGTGAGAATGAAAAAAAAACACACTAAAGTAAACATATAAATATACGTGAAGCTAGTTTATTAAATATTCATTAACGAAAGCACAATTCAATACATCATTTCTATTGATTTGATTCATTTTGTTACACATCAATAAAAACGAAATAGTTAGTTCATATTTTGTACAGTTGTCTTAACAGACAAAAGTTTAGGGTGTCGAGTATCTTGGCATCAGGTGGGATGGGCAAGCTTTCCCATCAGCGTATAAACTTATGATTTTGAATTGTAAATCTAGAATTCTTCAGCGAGTGTCTAGATAGTACTGAACATTAGCGACACCAGTGGAACAAAAGCGGAAATAATTGTAATCTTTCACTGATCCTCATAAAGTTGCTGATGAATTACAGCAGAAAATTGTTAGGTTGCGTAGTACAATTAATTGTTTCAATATGTAGTGTTAATACCTGATTGTAAGTAAATCTTATGGTCAATCTATATTTGTTATTTCAATACTGGTCATAAAGCCTGAGAAGCGTTGCTCTGAGATAGTGTATTGGATCACCTTTTGTCATGTGTTACGCCATCTGCGACACTGCGTATTGTTGCTTCAGGCTGAGAATAACCTTTATAGACTTCACAAAAGTTACAACTCCCCTAATATTTGTTCTATGCTGAAATAATTCTTGAAGATTTCACAGAAGTTTCTCTAATGTTTGTTTTATACTGAGAATAACCTTTGCAGACTTCATAAAGGTCAATTACTAGTGATTGATTAATGCTTAAAATTGCCTCAATAGACTTCAAGAAAATGGCGCTTTACTAACAGCGTTTCTATATGTAGATTACTACCTGTTTCATCCTAATATCATCTTTTGTAGACATTGTGAGTCAGGGTTTAGCTACAGCTCGCTTTATTCTGAGAATAACACTCTTGTTCTGGTACTTCAGGAAAATTACATTTAGCTTATAAAATGTTTCATACTGTAATAAAGCTTAGACGATTTAATGAAGGACAAGTTTTTCTTACTATATAATTCATTGACAATAATCCCCGTAGACTTAACGAAGGTCACAAGTTTTACTACAATATTTATAAAGTTGAGTTTTATTTTCGTACAAAATAACAAAAGCCACGCTTTACCGAAAACATGTTTTTTGTTGAAAATGGCCTTTTTTAAAACTTACGAAAGTGATGCTTTGTCTTCGAAATGTTTTGTTATAAGAATAATCTTTTCAGACTTCTCATAAGTAACACTCTTTACTATGAATTTTAGGCTGAGAATAATCGACGTAGGTTTCACGAAAGTTACGCTTCACTTTCAAATGTTCTAACATTGAAACTGAGATTCACTTTCGTAGAAATTTTTTCACTGAGTTGTGACGGATTTACTGTTATATATCTATTTTAATATCGATGTTTGTTTAAGTTAGATTTATATTTAAAAATGTACATAACTCTCTCTCTTCTCCGAATCGGGATTTAGGTCGTTTTTACGACCTGGGAGGGTAAGGTTCAGGTAGACCACTTCCTCCCTTCTGTACTGTTGTTATATTTTTTGGGTTTGGGTTTATTTATTTTGGTTGGCTGGTTTGATATAGAGTTGTTGATTTCTATTACTATATTCCCTTTCAGGGCCATGTCTGTTTTATATTTTAAAGTTGTGTATGTGTGTAGCCCTATTCTTAGGTGTTTATGTTCTTTGGATCTATAGTAGGAGTGGTAAATGTGGTAATAAGGGTAGTAGTTGTTGTGCTGCTATTTTTGTGATTAGTGTAAATGCATCCTCTTCGTTTTGGGGGCTGTTATATTTTTCTTGGAATATTCTGAATATGTTTTTGATTGCCTCTACTACTTTGTTTGAAAATTCCTCTATTTTAGGAGGTATGGATAGAGGTGTCTTCATTTGTTCTGTTGTTTCTTTAGTTTGAGTGTTGATTTTTACTTCCTGAGCTTGTGTTTGTGTAGTTGTTTCCGTTCGGGTGTGGGTTTTTAATGCTTGTGCGAATGTCTGTGCGGTAGACTGTTTGTTTGTATTGGCATTTTGTTGAGGGTTTGGTGTTGGTAGTAATGGTGTTTTTCTTTGTGTGCTGTTTACTTTATAGTTTTGAGCTTGTGTGTGTATTGTACATAACTTATACTGTTAACTCTGTATTGCGAATTTCCCGCCTATTCTCTTAAGTTGTAGGAAATTCTTGAGTGTAAGAATCAACAATATATGTGTGCACGTAAACATTGGTGTATCGTCTATATTGTTGCGTAAGCTGAAATTTCGAGAAACTCTCTTCATGCTTATAAATATACCCAACGCGACGCGCCAAAAGACATTATATATATATTATTAGTTTGTTACAGTTCGTATACTATAAAACTCGGAAGCTATAACTGTGATTAACGCTTAATAATAGGGAACTTCGGATATGTGACCAGGAATATTTCTAAATTTCGAACATTATAAACAATTTAACTTCAGTGGATTCACATCGGACACTAGTACTTTTACGGAAACATTACCTAACGTCATCGGTGGGAAAACTCGAAGAATTGTTAAGTGAATTGTATCTACATCAACTCGAAATTAATTCGCTTATCGTAAGATAAGATATCAAGGAGGTTCCAGGCCAGAAAGAAGACTCAGTATTGTTTGTAAGTTTGTAAATCTTTTGTACGTAGAGCCTTATTTGTAATAACTGTTATAGTAAATTGTATTACTGTTTATATATTAAAATACATTTGTATTAAAGAAGAAACTGTGTGTATCAATCTTGTCAGCAAATATCATAAATTGGAAATATATCGGCTTTTATTTAACTTCTAAACCTAAAATACAATTTAACTCCGTTTTAAGCTATTCGAAATTGTAATACGTAACAGTATTTAGTTTAAGCCTTATCGTGTCGAAAATATTCTGAAATACCTCAATTAAGTCAAAGAACATCAAACATTGTTCTCATTAAAGAGTTTATATTTAAATTAAATACACTATGAAACGTTTGCATTTAAAGAAAGTTAGGAATAAATAGGTTTAGCACACCTGCTACATTTTTAACTTAGTGGTAGCATTTTTTCACCATTTAACAGCGTTCAAAGTCAGCTGGTGGAAAATATCATTATAATATAAATTATTTTGAGCTTCTTCTATGCCATATAATTGTCTCAATTATATTTTTAATCTATTACGTTCATTTATTAAGCTAGTATTTTTGATACACTTCATAATAGTTTAGCATTTTATTATTTTCTCTCGATTTTCGAAATGCCCACACATTCTGCGTGTATAAACTGCACACTTAGTAAAGTGCTTTTGTAAAGCATTCTCGGTTCTAGCATTTCATTCTTTCTTTTTTATCCTAAATTTCTGTGTCTTTCATTAAAGTTTAAGTATCATTATAATGTTTGGTTCCAGTCTCTATTAAAATGGACTACATTAATTCCCACCTTCCAGACGCAGGTCTCACCGCAGGCCTCAAAAAGACATGTGAAGACACCAGTTCTAAAGGTCAAGGACGCCAAAGTTGCCATCTGGACAAGGAAGAGAGGGACACAGTAGCGGTCATCAAGTCAAGGACAGTTACAGTGACCGCCATGGAGTGTTATTGTGATACATTTTGAGATTAAAAAAACGTCTTTATAAATCTTGAAAAGTTAGATATTATAGAAACATTATTTGAAACAAAGTAACAAACTATTATTAAACAATATTTGTATTGAGATTCTAATCACAAAACTCTAAATCCCAGTTTATACGTTTAAACGAACATAGGATCATAATATTCACTTAGACTGACCTATCAACGTTTTTCTTAGATATACACATCAACAAAACAAGTACAAAGCACAAAACGTGGACATTTACAGTGAAAGAATTATACAGAGTATTGACGGACAAAAATAAATATTTTTATTTCCCGAATTATTTCTGTTTATCTGAGCTATGACAAGCTATGGGCGGAGTTCTCCACACATTTTCTCTTCGTTTTCTTCATAAGGTGGGGAAAGAAATAATTTTCCAAAATCATGTTTCTGTTTTCAAAGATCCTTTTATTTTTCTTGTTATGGTTAATAACAAGAAAAAAACATCACAAATTTTGTTTAAAGTTTCATATTTTCCCTCAAAGTAATATTATTTAAAACACAGATCAAATAATCGGAAGTCGAACATTTGGCTGATTTTACGTTCTCTAATGAACGCATTGAAATGTATATAGAATATAAGAAAATAAGTAAAAATTGTGAATTGAACATGTTAAGAAAGTTTTAGCCCACAGCTGGAACATAATCAATATCCATTGAAGTCTCACAACACATGTTTCTGTTTGTTTTTTATGAGCGATTCCTTATTATTGTGATCAATACAAAATTACACAGATTACCTAAGCAACAACTACAAACGATTTTGTTGTCCTCATTTTACAGTTTTCGATATTTGTGCCGATAGGAAAGATTATTCACACAACACTGTGTCAGTAGGAAAGACGGTTGATACAACAAGCATGCTCACTACCACGTTACGTTAATATTATGGTACAGACATACGAGATCACAGGTTAGTTGACTTTGCTTCCACGTCAGCGAGAAACGACTGATTCTCTCTGAAAACCAGGAGAGTCTTCAGTTCCCTTGCGTACAAAAGAAAAGAGAAAAAAAAAACAATAAACAAAAACAAAACAAAACAAAAACCACTAAATGGATGTATTTAGATTAGATTATGAATTTGTTTTCCTTGAGCTACATTCATGTTTTTAAATTACGTTGAGAATTAATTTTCTGTGAGCTAAATTCACGTCTTTACATTACGTTATGAATTTGTTTTTTTGTAAGTTAAATTCATGTATTTAAATTACGCCGGGAGCTTCTTTATTGTGAACCAAACTCATGTCTTTAAAGCACTTCATAAATTGTTTTCTGTGAGCTAAATTCATGTCTTTAAATTACATTATTCATTTGTTTTCTGTAAGTTAAATTCATGTTTTTAAATTACATTATCTGTAAACTAAATTCATGCATTTAAATTACACTGTGAACTTCTTTTCTGTGAGCTAAATTCATGTATTTAGATTAGATTATCAATTTGTTTTGTGTAAGTTAAATTCGTGTATTTAAATTACATTATTCATTTGTTTCTGTAAGTTAAATTCATGTATTTAAATTACATTATCTGTAAACTAAATTCATACATTTAAATTACACTGTGAACTTCTTTTCTGTGAGCTAAATTCATTTATTTAGATTAGATTATCAATTTGTTTTGTGTAAGTTAAATTCATGTATTTAAATTACATTATGAATTTGTTTTCTGTAAGTTAAATTCATGTTTTTAAATTACATTATCTGTAAACTAAATTCATACATTTAAATTACACTGTGAACTTATTTTCTGTGAGCTAAATTCATGCCTTTAAAAGCACTTCATAAGTTGTTTCTTTATGACACGTGTTTGCAAGCAAATACTCTGTCCCTCATTTGCTGTGTCCCTCTCTTTTCCTTGTGCCTGCCGCCATATCATATAAACAGAAAATATTCCACAATAGATCTATTAACCACAATTCTTCCAAACCTACAAAACATCAGATGAGGTCATCCCTGAAGATTCGAAGCTAGAACTTCTTTTTCAATAAATATAGAAAACAAGGGAGAAGTAATTTATGCTTACCAAAATGTTTTGAAATTATGAGCCTCCTGCTACATTTCAGTAGATGTCGCTAGGGTTTAGAATTGTTAGACCTGATTTACAATGCGTTTTAGTCAATATCTCTTGCGATTTATCAGTTGTTTGTAATCCTGTAGATTTCACTAAACCGTTATAAACATAAATATAAATAGATATTTATATTCACACTGGTTGGTCAATACTCACTCATATGTTTGTGAGTAACTTCACTTTGTGTTTTTTGGATAGTTGTTTAACCGATACAATTCCTTTTTGTTATTGTACAACTTTGTTTTCTTCAAAATTAAATACTGGTAAATTTTTTGGCCCATTTCTCGGATAACAATGTTTGTCACTTTGGAAGATAACATATATAATAATAACAATAATAATAATGCTAACATCGACTTTTCTTTCAAAATGTAAATAAACACTTAACTGATATAACGTCAACCAGAGTGATAATTAATGTTAGTTACAGAGTAAAACTACTGTCAGTTAGTAACGTTTCACTGAAGCTAATCTATAGTTTAAATCCTCAAATTACTGGTTTGTTTACTAGATATTGCATGATGCTGAGTAATTTTTATACTTTTGCGTATTACAAAACTCAGAGTAAATAGCCGACCAAAACTGGTGAAAATACATAGGAAATGGGTGAATTTTAGATGCAATATTGACATTTCTGTTTAAAGTTTTTTATGTAACTCATGTGTTATTGAGGATCTAGTAACCAACACAGATATGAACTCACAAGTATTTTGGTGTGTAATTAGTTTAGTAAAATGAATTAAAAAGCCAGTACAGGTCTATCGGTAATTCTTGGAATAAAACTTTAGAATAAATTATAAGTGAATTGACTGGTTAATACGTAGATATGGTTTCAAAGTTAAATTAAGTCTTTTGAAGTTTACAGTTCTAACGAAAGTAGTTTGTACAAGTTTAAGCTAAAGGAAAACACCCAGCAACCATTAAAATAGTGAACATCGGGCTCTTAAATGTTCTTTTATATGAATGGAAAGGCAGTGAACAATTGATTCTGTGTTGTCTCTTTCACAACGAGGAGAACAAAATCATCAAAATACACAAAAACACTGAATGGTTGGAGAATTTCTGTCTTTGAAAAATAAAAGTTTAGATAAATTTACGGTTTAAATAAAATTTCAAAATAAACTCTTGAAAATCAAAAGAAAAGCAGGCTCTATAATTCACTTAATTTTCGTTTCAACTAAAGGCTGTGGCGAGAAAATAGCAAATAGCAGAGTGAAAAAGACAAGAAATGTAAGCATGTCGCTCTGGAACAGTGACAGAGAGTACATCATATTTTCATGTTTTTATTGAAGGTTATGAATATATGAACATCAGTACCAAATTTATTAGCACTCTACATTAAAATACTAAGTTGCTCTTAGAACTGATGGGTATGATAATGAACACATAAAGAATTATTTTAATTTGGGAAAAAGTTGCTCAAATGTTTAATAATCAAATAGAAAATTAAGATATAGATATTTTTGCTTTTTTAAGTAAAATTAATACTGAATGTCAATGTTTGATTAACAAAAAAATACTGATCATAAAAAAATCATCAGCATGTTTACGGTTCAGCAAAAATTTATTTTATACAAATAGGCGATTTAGCTAGTTTTATTCATCATGGCTAGTAAATAATTTAGTTACCTTATTAGTGAGCCTTATATATCAACAATCATTTTCCTGTTTAATATTAAATATGGCTGGTTAGTAGCAATTCAAGAAGTTTAATAAACAGTTTAAAATATTCGTATTCACTTGAGCTAAATCTGCTCACAAACTAATTATTTCATTTAATTGGAATTTTGTTTAAAGAGAATCAACGTAATAAATTAACACTAAAAACATTTTTGTTTGTTAAATATCAACACTTTTAGAAGTGCTCAGAAATTCCAAATGTCTTTAGAGCACATTATAAACTGTTTCTTTAGGCACGTTTTTTTCCCAGAACAAACATTAGCGACACCACTAACAAAGGCATAAATAATTTTCATATTTCATTGATCCTCATAAAGTTGCCAATGGATTACAGCAAAACCCTATTAGATTGGGTAGCACAATTACTTGCTAGAATACGTAGGATATGAACGTAGTTTTAACAATACTTCGGTTTATGCCAATGGATTACAGCAAAACCCTATTAGATTGGGTAGCACAATTACTTGCTAGAATACGTAGGATATGAACGTAGTTTTAACAATACTTCGGTTTATGTCCAATTCATACATTTACTAACGTACATATACTAATGTTCGAGACAATACATGCTATTAGTTAGTTTTTTCGTGTGACTTCATGAAATTGATTATATATACTTATATATATAGTTAATCTGCATCCATTTTAACTTTATTATACCTTTTAGTGTTAAGAACATTATAATTCGTATTTCTTTTATGATCTTGACATTATTTTCATGATTTTCACTTATAGCTTCAGAAGTTAAAATACTTTCTTAAGCGAAATAACTTTTTGACTTCAGTCATCAATAATTGTATCAGAAATTATTTCAATGTATTCTCTCAGTGTAACAATACTGTGTGCTTAAACCTACTGCGTTTCTCACTTTAATGGCGTTCGTAATCTTCAGTTGTAAATCAAATTAACTTGATTTTAGAACTTGTTTTCACAATAGTTTCTTTTATATTTGTGTTTAAAACATTAAGTTTGTCTCAACAGTATTTTAAACACAGAATTCTTAACTTCCATTGCTCTTGCGTTTATATTTTGTTTGTCTTCACTTTTGGCGTAGTTAAGAATGAACGACAGTTCGCTGCTTTTCCACATGTTTAAACGAATATTTACAACTCAGTGTTAAGAATTCACTGCTTATTTGCAT